TTGCTGTGCAGTTGTCCTCTGTCTACTCTTCTCTAAGTAAGTCATTAATTAGTCTTTCAGTCTGTAAATAAACACGTGAGCAGATAGCACAAGACAATTTCTTTTTTGCAGTCCTGAAAATTCCGAATCATACTTCCTTGATGGAAAATGGCAGCCCCTCAAGAAACTTGTGTATGTGAGTATGCAGAGGGATGAGGAGTGGCAAAAAGGACTTCCCCCACTCCAGAGGCTTTCAATTCAATTCTTCCATGGCCTGTGGAACTTCTGTTCCTAAGCAACAACAATGCTAAGTCCTTGGAGATCATTAGCATAATGTTTGGTTCCAGCATGCGAGTTCAAGCTGGAGGGAAAAGAACTGAATGACATGCAGTGCCCGGAAATGTTTCATTTCAAACTATGCAGAAAGAAAAAACACCTAGACCTTGTTAGAAGCTGTTTGTCAGCTTCTAACATCACCTTAACTGTCAGTTTTAGTCATTTGGCTATTTCATTTTGCTTGGCCGTAACACAGTGTGAGATACTTGTATGTGTGTGTTGAAACTCACAACATTTGTGATACCACCCTTGACACGTGCCAGATCAGACAGATATGGACACAGAAGGGAAGGTTTATTCAGCGGCACAGCAGAGAGGATATGAGCTGCAGTTTATATTCCTCTATCTGTGACCCTTCAAAAGTGCAGTTGGTACAACAATTTCCCCTTGTAGCATGTGAATTTACTGGAATTTCTCTCTATGACTGGGGCTACCAAGCTCAAGCTTTTAGTAATCGGTTGCAATAATTTCAAAATAGTATCTGGAAAAAAGAACTGTGGAAGAGAAGTAGCTGTGGGTTTTGTGACAGGTGTTGTTCACAGGAAATGCCTCTCTTACTGATAATGGATCACAGATATTATTGGCATTAAGAAACTGACAATGTTGATGTGCTTGCCTGATTCCAGGGATGGAGATTGCATTCTGCTCACCTCAGTGAATTAATTGAATTTACTTCATGTTTTATTTCACACACACAAAAAATAAATCTGAAGTGTGCCTGGGTGCAGCATTTCTGCAGTGGAAATGTTATCCCTATTCTGGTTTAAGCCTCCAAGTACACATAATGCAAACAGTGTTCCATAAAGGAGGGAGATTCCTTTCTCCTTCCCTAGCCCCTTCAAGGCATCCTACTTCAATGAGCCCTACTTTAATATTATACTTGTTTATAAATTTTGCATTATATTCCTCTATTCCTTAAGCACAGGCACAATCAAACAAGGAGAACACTGTCTGTACCTTTAGAATAATGTAACCTATCACTTTTCCGAGTTTGAGGGAGACTTGACTGTTTCATAGGCAAAGCCGACATTCCTTTTGTTCTCTGTCTTCCTCCTTTTATAGTAGAATTTGGACCTAGCTTGTGGCTTACCAGGAAGGGGATTTTCCTTACAGTATTTTTTGTAATTGCAAAGATTCTTTAAGAGAACTGGGTTTAGGAGAGTCTTGGCACTGTTTTGCAGACTTAAGAAGTCCGGAGGATGGGAGGCAGAAAGAAAATGAAAAGCAGCTTTGTGAAGTCTAAGAACCCCTTAAGTTTATTGGAATTTAGTATTAATTTTAGCAGGGGCAAAATCTTATCCTTCGAAATTATCTCATCTGCAGTGAATCTCCAAATGCATTGAGGTCCACCTGTCTCTAGCAAACTGAGAGCACTGGCTATCACAAGAGTGAGATCATAGTCTGATGGTAATGGAAGAGGGATTAAAAAATCACTTATATAGCATAGCCAAAGGTGGATGATCATTAGTCCACATCATGCTTAAATTCTGCCAGGGCTGGTGCCCTACAAATACCTTGTAGATTTAGATATAGATAGGTATGTAGGCACATCTCTTAACTTCACATAGCTTCAACCCCTCTTGAAGTTTAGTTATTTACGTTTATAAAGCACTTCTGTTTCTTTTTCAAACCAGCCTTTGATTATCTGTTTATTTTTAAATGCACTTACTGTGGTTGGTTAGCTGCAGTTGATCTACTTTGAGCTTTGCTGTGCTGGGTAGAGAGGTGTTGGCTGGAGGAATGCTGATGGATTGCCATGGAGAAGGGAGGAACAGGCTTGAGCTGCCTGTAATGTGATTCGTGTTCTGAGCCCTTGTGAGTCAACAAGGGAGAATGTAGAATTCTAGATCTCTGGGGACTTGAAGGGAGCATCCTGCCTGGTCCCCTGAGATCCAGAAGGATAGCTTCTACAGTGTAGTGCCTACATTTAGCCTTGCCTGTTTTCATGGCATGGTGAAGTTGTCAACATCTTTGATTTGGCTTCCAAAGTCAAAGAGGATTGTTTTGACCCTTGTAGAGTCTTTATTAATTGTTCAGGGCTTGTGACAAGCAGAGCAAGAGTTTCACTGGAAGGTCAAGGCACCCATAAGTTAGCATATGTATATTTGCATGATATACACGCAGACTTGCCCAGCTTAGTCCTTTGTATAGTATTTTATAATGCTCCCACTTTGAATGTCGGAGGACTGATGGATTGAGCAGTTTTGTACATTACATAATCCCCTGATTCCTAACTCACCCATAAATCCAAAATAAACCTGCGTGGCTCTTGTCTGAGCCAGTCTGCCCTTGTGGAAAGGGAAGAACCTAACTTGATGACAAACCTGACTTTGGTGACAAACACCCTAATCCAACACACTTCAAGCAATGCCAGGAATCGTGATCCTGTTCTGTCCCTTTGAGATATGCTCTCTTCATTCCAAATATCTGTTGGAGACCTTAGAAAGGCCAGTGGGGCAAAGCTCTGTGAAATCTATGATCATTCCATATGCTTAGCAGGACAACTAAACAAAGCTTAGGAGTTGTAGACCATGTGCTAGAATTGGTCCTGGGTTTCACATTTGTTCATGGAATAGGTTACTACTTAGGCTATGTAAAATACTTCCCTCAGATACGCGCTTTTCTCTGAAGAGAGTACCTAAGCAAGAAATAAAATACTGAGTTCAGTAAATGCTAGTGTTTTTCTTTTATGTACACTATTAACTGGTTCAGAACTGAATAGGCAGTAAAATAATGAGTCATAAACATGAGAGGTTGTTTGCAAGAATTTACTACTGCAAATTCAATAAAACTGTAATGATCATAGACCATTCTGGTGTTTTATTTAGATCTTTGAGGCTGCTTTCAGCCTACCTTTTCTGTGGGTTTCTAGGGTGATCCAATACAGAGCACAAGAGTGAAAAATAGCAGTTAGTTATTCCTGCAGCAGTTTTATAATCTATGGCTGAACTGACTTCCTTCACTTCAGGAAATTGGTAGTCCTGCCTCTGAGCTGGCACCTTAGAAGTAGTTTAAAAACATGCACTCAAACCCAAAAGCATTTCCTACCACCAGTTACATCGTATCACATCAGTAACCCTGTTTACTTTGGCATACCAAAAGTTTCTTTAATCCATATGCTGGTTTTGGTTCGGATAGAATTAACTTTCTTCATAGTAGCTGGTGTGGAGCTATGTTTTGGATTTGTGCTGAAAACTTTTAGTAACACAGGGGTTTTTTTTGCTGAGCAGTGCTTACATGGAGTCAAGGCCTTTTCTGTTTCTTATCCCACCCCACGAGTGAGTAGGCTGGGGGTGACATATGACATTTGTTCAGCATAAAGCTGAGGCAAGGAGGGGAAAAGGGAAACGTTTGGAATGATGGTGTTTGTCTTCCCAAGTAACCATTGTATGTGATGGAGCCCTGCTTTCCTGGAGATGGCTGAACACCTGCCTGCCAACAGGAAGTAGTGAACTAACTCCTTGTTTTGCTTTGCTTGTGTGCACAGCTTTTGCTTTACCTGTTAAACTGTCTTTATCTCAACCCATGAGTTTTTTCACTTCTACTCTTTCTGATTCTCTCCCCCATCCCACAGTGAGGGAAGTGAGCAAGCAGCTGTCTGGGGCTTATTTACCATGTTGGGTTAAGCCACGACAATCCAGAAGCTGTCACTTGTCTCAATTTGGTCTCTAGGAATTGACAAGAGCAAGTCCAGATACTGATACACCTTCTAGTTCAGTGTAGGTGAAATGTGGCTTTTGTTTGCTTAGAATCTTTAATTGTTTCACATTTTCAGGTGATTTCCCCTGTTTAGAATCTGCCTTTAGCTGGTTTTATTTATTTAAACTTGTAGTAAAAAGTTGCATTTTGAGAACAAAAAATATAGAAATGACAGCCCCCTTTTTAAGGACTACATTAGTTTCAAAGTGCTTTGTGCAAGAAGAACATCATTGATACGGAGACTGAGACACCTCTGTTTTCAAGCCACTATTTTCAGAATGCTTCAGAAAAGCATGAGCCTTTGAGAATCAGGCTTCAGAATAGAAACAGACAGCCTTAATGCTACCTGTCACTAGCACTCTAGATCTACAATGAGATGAGACCAGAAGCAGACTGATTAACAGTGTAGCTTACCCAGAACAGCTGAGGAGGTGGCTGTTCCCAGCTGTCCCTCTGCTTCTGCAGGGGCATCTTCTCTGCCTGTGAGCTAGCTTCTGAATTCTTGTAGTTTACCATGTGGCATCACCACTGCAGTTCACAGTGATATCTTAAGGTGAAAATAATCCATCCTTAGCACCACTACCCTACTTCCTTCTTTTTGCTTTATTAAATATCATACTTTAAGTGGCACTTCACTCAGAAGCAGATTGGCAAGTAGCTTAGGGAGAGTCAGCATGTCATAGAGAGAGTAACTGACAATAAATTCACCAGCCATCTGAAGCTAGACCATCTCTGCTCATCAGGCACAGCCTTCCTTCCTAATGAAAGCAGTAACAAAATTTGTGTTGTGCAGCACTAACCTAACTGATGACATTCTGATTTAGGAATCATCTGGTCACTGATGAGACCTCAATATTCTTCTAGTCTTGGTGTTTCCTCATTTCTGTGGGATGAGCGCATGGGGCACAGGGAGCAGAGATGTTAGTGTTGACTTTTTCTTACTGTTCTGAAGCAGGCTATTTCAATCAAATGCTTGTTCCATACAGGAAGCACTCAGGAGGGGAAAAGATAATGCTCCAGAAGTGGCAGGTAAGCTAAATCTTGGCAGCACATGGTTAGACAAACAATTTCAGCATCTGTCTGTGTGTATGCACACAGATATGTGTGTGTGTAAGTATGTACTTCAAGGCCTAAGCTGTTCTCTTGCCGCTGGAGGTGAGGTTACTGGCAAGAGGAGCAGAGTATTTACATCTGGCTATTGCAGAGGTTTTGCTCCTCCTGCTGTGAAACATATGGTGCTACTGTTTGGTAGATTAAGTGTGATTTTATGCACATTTTTAAACTGAAACCAAAGACAGCCACCTAGTTGAATGACTTCACAGATCATCTGTAAATCTAAATCAATGCACCTCTTTTTTTCCCAGATGTTTTACTGAGCTGAGAGATGCATTTACTTTCCTGTATCCCTGATCTCGGTAACCCAAGAAACACTGAAGAAATCTATACCTTCTTGTTTACATGTAGCACTTAGTGCAGCCTTTTCTGTATAGGCAGTTGTCCAGGATTTTCCAATATACAGACTGCATGCATTTGGCTCACTTTTGAATTGGGAAAAAGTGCTGTTATGCAAATGCAGCATAAAAGCGTTGTATGATTATAGACAAATGCGAATGATCTATCTGAGGAAGAGCCAGAATAAGGACAGATTCAGTTGAATTGATTGTTGTATAAGATATTGTACTGATCTGAATGGCAATGGATGATTAATTACACTATTTGTAATTCTTGTCCTGGTGGACCTGGGAACCACAGGGCTCTGAGGGTGCCTTTGAGGCATGCTTTTCAGGGGTGGAGTAAGGAGGTTTTAATGCTTTTCTCTTTTCTCTGGCAGAAGAGGGAGATCAGCAACTTCGATTACCTCATGTACCTGAACACGTTGGCTGGCCGCAGCTACAATGATTACATGCAGTATCCTGTGTTTCCATGGGTCCTCGCTGACTATCACTCTGAGGTCAGTGCTTGCTGCAGCTTTCTGTACTTTCCATGGCAGCAACCGTATGAAGCTTTGTTGAATGATGCCGTTGAAGCATAGGGGCCTAGACCAAGGGCTCAAAATTTGAGATAATTAGTTTGAACTGTATTGATTCTTTATTAGCCTTATCTTCAAATCAGCATGCTGAGGAATCACATTCTGCCTCAGAAAGGTGTATGAACATCTGTTAAGTATATACCAAGTTAAGGGAAGGCTGCATTGGCTCAGCAGACAGGCTGGGACAGGTTTCTCTGACCCCTGACAAGAAGGTTTGGAGAGAAATGCTTTGAGAGCAATTTGCAACCTGCCAGATCATTTATTTGTGTAGCTCTTTGTACATCTTTCAGTGGCACATGCTGCCACTCT